CTCTGAACTTTTTTAAGCCCTCGATGCATGTCTTTATATGTGACTGCTTGATTGAAAACTTTTATCTCTTCTTGAGAGAATTTTCTCTGGAATATTCCCTTGCAGATCAACACTTTTGCATTATATTATGATGTTGCAATGCAATGCAAAGAAGGATGAAAAAGATGACACAAACAAAATAAATAAGTTAATGTACACAAACAAAAGAGAAAAACAAGTTAGTACATGTAAAATAATTGATACAGATAAAATGTTATTCAAAGATGAATATAACACCTACCCTGTCATGATATCTACCCGAACATGCTTTAATTAAATAACATTCCTACCCAGATATGATATCTACCCTAAATGATTTTTTTCCTTTTTTTTTTCAAGAAATTAATCCTAACTGCATGGTATCTAGTTTGCATGCAATTATTTAACAAAATTTAAAGCAAAAAGAAAAGGTTCAGAAACACTCCTCCTTTGTGTACACTTAATTTGGGTACCTATTAACGGATAGAGGTTTAGTATATCTATACCTAGGGTGACCGTTCTACGGTTCACTGTATGCATGGTTTCGGCTCTAACAGAAAAAGTGACTCAAATTGTCCTTGATGTCGGTGCGTCCTTGGGCTGCCAAACCCTAGATCCTCACCCATTACAGGTTTTGAACGGAACGAGTTCAACTCGAGGGGATTCACTACCTTATACCCATACGAGGAATAAGTCCCTACGAAGGTATAAGATATGTATCCCATAGGTTAATTGCTAAAACTCATACGAAGAATATATTCTTACGAGAGTAAAGCAATCACCCTGACTAATTTGGATCGAAGCTCGTGTCTAGAGCTCATGTTATGCAAATGCACGTGATGTGTGTGAGGAGGAACGTACCTACCTTTGACTCAAAAAACGAAAAGAAAAAAAACTCGACAAAACATGGATCAACCTGAAAGCAAAAAATCAAATGTTAGTATGACAATTAAAAATGAAGCAATTAAAAACTTCAATAAAAGGATCATATATTAACTAAATACTCGAACTCATAAATTCGACCACAACGACAACGTGTAAGCGACCTACAGCTTGACTCTGTAAAAAAAAAGGTCCCCAGCAGAGTCGCCAAACTGTCATAACCATTTTTTAGGTAAAACAATTTAATATTATTTTTAAAAACGATTAATTTGGAAAAAATGGTGATTTGGAATTAATTTGATTTAAATTGAAAGGGAGTCGCCATCGACCTTTGGGTTAGGTAGGTCAAATACCCAAAAACGTCTTTTAAAAACAATCTTAAGAAAAAACATTTTTTAAGACAAAAATGGTATGCGTTTACAGAGATTACTTTAAAACGGGTTCGGGAGTCGATTACGCGTAGGGAAGGATTAACACCCCATAACGCCCAAAACTGGTACTGTGTCTCTTACACGTTGTCGTACATAATGAAAATTATAAATCGAATATAAAGTTAAATTACGATCCATTTATCGAACATTAATTTGCTTCGAATTTACTATTTAAAGAGAATCCTTTAATTCAAATAAAAAAACCTTGAAATTAGCAATCCTCCGTCGGAAAAACTATTTCAATTATTTTTCATTGTTAAAGAATATTCTATCGTAGAATATGTAAAAGATGCATATCAAATATAAATTGCAATTTGACAGTTGCGAAAAAAATAAAATAAAATACATAACTTGCACTGTTCAGTGTAAAATAAAAATGAATTAACAATTAACAAACTTAAAGTTCATTTATTTCAAGTTCCATTTAGTTCGAACGTCGTATTAGATTGTACCACTTTGATCAAGTAGTACTTTCCACGCCCGTTCTACAAATCATTGTTCTTGAAACTTACCGAGCAACAAGTTAACATATAACATAAAATAATTAGAATATATATTGAAATATTTATAAGATGTACGTATACCTAATAAAATATAAAGGATAAAATATTTGCAAAATATTAGAATCAGGTATGTAATAAAACATTAACTAACGGGTCCTTTATGAAATAAATAAATAAATAAATGAGATCAAACTAAATTTACATCATATACATGGATATAAATAGATATAAGGTCAAAATTTATAAAATACATACATGCATGCAAATATAATATCATAGATACAAACAATAAACGAAAAATATAAACAAACGCAAGCAATCTACAAGAGAATACAAAACCATATTTAGAGATAATCAAATTGTAGTGCACCTGATTAATAAAGATTAAAGTAAAACTAAGGATAGGACAAAACCACACAAATAAAGTAATAAAAGTCTAGATGTGTAATAAACCCATAAACATAGATGTTTCAGAATCAACATATAATGACTTAAAATAAAATAAAATTAAACCTATAGGATTTAAGTCTATATTTTCTAAACTTTATTTAAGGACCAAAATGAGTGTTTTATAAATATTGAAGCAGAAGTCAAAAACACCATAAATAATAAACACAAACAAACATGGACTAGAATGTGAACTTGCATGAATGCTATGACCGCATTCAAATATTCTCATAATAATTGCAGTTACAAATGGGGATTAAAATAAAATAAAACAAAAATATAAGACAAAATCCGGAAGATTAGCAAAAATGCATAATAACTAGACAGGGACAAAAATGAAACATTTACGAATATAAAAACCAGAGTCGAACATTAGAAAAATAAATAAATAAATAATATGACACATAATAAGGACTAAAATAGAAATATGAAACATGAGAGCTTGAAATTAAAATAGAGTGCCTTTTCATTAATGACCAAAATAACAAATTACAGATGAGGAAGGACCTAGATTGTAGTTACCCCACAAGCTAAAATACGCAGAAGGCCCCCTGTGAAACTACGTCGTTTCATTAATGATATATAAGGCCCAAAATCGGGCTTGCTTACCCATTCATCCCCATCTTTCATTTCTTATCAAAATAGATAGGAGAGAGAGATTCAGAAATCTCTCAAACTCCTCTCATCGGAGAGAGGGACCCAAAACAGATGTCTACAATTGACAATTCTATCACTTTACGTGTTTGTAAGTTTGTCTTAGAATCAGTTTCTGTGATAAACTTTCGGTGAGTAAATCCACCTCTTATGTTACTGTTTCCAGATGCCAATTTGTCCTGGAAACAAAAAGTTTATGGACATAAAATAATGAATGGATGCATGCAACATGAATCTTTACCAAGTTGATAGGATTGCAACCAAATCAAGAATATAGGGACTTGGGCTATTGCTTTCCCATTGCTTGGGACAAATGCATTTAATTCCTGAAACAAATTTGGTGATCAATCATTTTAAATATATAACATTAACAACGTATTATTAATAACCGTGAAAAAAAACATCATCTAATGAATGATTGACACGTAACCTGATTTTTAATTTCCTTTATTTCTTTTTAAAAAATTTAAGTTATTATTTATTTTCAAAGTAAAAATTCACTGATCTCAAATTCTTAAATCTTTAATATTTATATATCGTGCTTATATCCGTAAATTTCAACCAGATTGCAATCTCAGATATCGGCAGTGCAATATGTAGAACGTAAGGTGACCGTCTCGTGTCCCTTGTCGATGAGGAATCTACTCGATCACTACGTGGTGTTTGATTCGTAACTGCGTGTAGGTAATTTCAACGTTGTATGATTGGTTTTAAGTATTGCGTGCAATCTATGGTTTTCAGAATCGGATCGGTTAGCGAACCGGTCATGCTATCGATTTATTGGTTTAATCGGTCGAATCAATTCGACCGGTCGGAAGAACGGGACGACGTCATAATTATTTAAAAAATTAAATAAAAATATCAAAAATATTTAATAAAAAATAATTTTTTATATCACAAGTCATATTCAAAGCAAATCATAACATATATAAGTTAAAAAACATAAAATCAAGTGAAACAAAATGATTCAAATTAACTACAACATAATATTTAAGGTAAAACATATTAAATAAAAAATATAATTATATAACTATAATTAAAAAATAAATTTGGGGCTAAAAAAAGCATAACAAAATGATATTGTTTGGTTTAATTTTTTTTAAAACAATCCCACATGACTAAGAAACATATAAGAACATCCCAAAAGTCTAAAGAGTAAAAATATGAGAACAAAACAATCCCACATGGCTAAGAAACATAGGAGAGCATCCAAACTAACTTCTATAAATAATAGAGGTAATTTGACATTCAAAATCATGGAGCATTTTGGTGAGCATTGAGTGAACTATTCTTTCACTTTAATCAAGCTCGAATTTTAGGTTTCAATCAAGCTTCTATTTTTTTTTATTTCAAGCATTTTCGAGTTCAAGTTTCAATATTATATTTCGAGTTCGAGTTGATCTTTATAATTTTTAGCTATTGAGTTTGAGTCGAGTTGAGCTTACTTTTAAAGTTTTCAAGTTCGAGTCGAGCTCAGCAATACTCGAGTTCGACTTGGCTCGTTTAACAAACGACGTCGTTTGGTTTAATTAAAAAAAACAAAACAAAAATGGCGGTTTTTCCCTTTTTTCTAGTTTTTCCGATTTTTAGCCGGTCCAATTCGAACGGTTCAACGGTTCCTGTCGGTTCACTAGTAACGGTTCAACCAGTATAAATTGAACCGGACTATACATCGATTTCCGGTTGAACCGACCGATCCGATCCAATTTTCAAAACAATGGTGCAATCATATTACATTTGATTATACAAAACACATTATTAATTTTAAGGCGATTTTAGAATTTTAAGAAATAAAAGTTTTTGAAGTTTTTTTTAGATTCGAGAAAAAATTAATTTTTTAAAATTTTAAATATAACACATGACACACTTTAAAAAGTTAGTAGTTTTTTAATATTGTAAAGAATGATACATTTAAAATAAAACGTTGAAAATATTATACATCTATCTTGAATTAAAATATTTTAAACACTTAAAATAACTAAATATATTTTTTAATTATCTCTTCCAAAAATTAATTATATATATCAGTTAGTTTTTAACTTTTTATCAAAGATTTCGTTTGGAAGTTCCCGACCCACACTCCCATCTCTCTTCTCGCATCCCCGCCGCCAAACAAGCGATCTCTTGCCCTCAAGTTTCCGACAGATCAGGAAATCAAAATTAGGTGATTTTTAAAACACTAAACTTGACTTGAAGGTCGGTTTATACTGGTGCAATTAGATTTTGAGTTACGGTTCGGTTTTTGTTATCTGCTTTCTGCTATAGTTGATATTCTGATTTCCATCCTACTGCTTGCGTGTTACTTTGTCTCATTTCATAATCTCTCTGTGTATACTTTGTTGAGAAGGAGATCTTTTTAACGGTGTCAGTTTAGCTGAAATAGCGGACCGTTGTCGCCGCTATTGAGGCCGCTATTGAGGTCTTTAGTCGTGGCAGCCGGATCCGATACCTCGAAACGGCAGCCACAAGCCCACAACTGCTATTTGAAACCCTACCGACAATCCGCATTTTCTATCTACTGCTAATGGTGGATTGAATTTATCTAATATTTTTATATTTCTATCTGATGATATTATTTAATTCGTTTATAGAATTGTTTAGTAATGAAATGTTATGGAGAAGAATAAGAGTGTAAATGATATAATGAAAATGTCCAGTGACTGACTTAAATTATATTATTTCTCGTCCAAAAAGTTGAGTGTTTTTTATTTGTTGTATCATGTTCAAATGCGATTGTACTGGCATATTTTAGGAAGATCATGAATAATTGTTCATGAGTTGAATACAACTATGGCTATTTTAGTTTTTAGACAATGAATTCTTGTTAATTTTCTCTTGCTGCTAATATATTTTTATTTAAGTTTGTTGTACGTGAAAGTTTAAAACTTGTTAATCTGTAAACTAATCTTTATTTTTATTTGATTTTATATTTTGAATTATTTATTTGGTAGGTTTGATGCAAGTTTAATTTCTTTCTTTCTTTCTTTCTTGGGTTTGGATCAAGTAATAGGGAACCATTAAATTAGTTTGAACTCAAACTTTTAATCTAGAACTGGGTATGGAAATGCGGTAGGGTAATAATTGGGTATTGTCAAAATTATTACAGTAGCGTTATACAGGTACCTCAAAATTAGCGTACCTACCTGTTGCCACCTCTATACTTCGGGCTGCCTGAAACTGTCTCCCCATACCGTTCTCATTTTTCTTCCATTTATCCTCTTTGGATCTTGCTACCATCTTGGGGATATCCTATGATCTTTCTTCCTCCTATACATGCCTTTTTTATCTGAAAAATATGATTTTTTTTTTTAAATTGCACAGCTTTTGCAGATTGTGGTTTTGGCTTGTTATAAGCTAGTCAAAGTGAATACAGAAAAAGAAAGAGGATGAAATCAGTTGTGGGCGTTGTTGTATCAAATAAAATGCAGAAATCAGTGGTAGTGGCAGTGGACAGGCTCTTCCACAACAAGCTTTACAACCGCTATGTTAAGCGCACCTCCAAGTTCATGGCTCATGATGAAAAAGATCAATGCAACATTGGTGACAGGGTATGTCTTCCATTTTCTGGTTCTATGTTTGAATGTCTTAAACTTCACTATCGTAGTAATATTCACAATACTTCAATATGTTCTTTTCTAGGTTAAATTAGACCCTTCTAGGCCATTGAGCAAGCGTAAGCATTGGGTTGTTGCTGAAATTCTCAAGAAAGCTAGAATCTATATGCCTCCATCGGTGGATACAGTTGCAAATGCAAGTACCAAGAATGAAGCCCCGCTTTCTTCAACCTCTTAAAGGTTCTGCTCTACTTCATTGTACTTGGTTGTAAAAATAAAGTTTATGATTTACATCGAGAAGATCCCTTTACTGTATTTGTTTTGCTTATGAGCAATGATTTTGTTAATGAAGGTTGGTATTTGTGGAAACATTTCTGTTCCATTGCGTTGCATCGTTATATAGTTTTAAAATATCAGGGCAGTCATTTTGACTGATGTTTGAGAGCTGTTAGCAAATATAATGTTCCTATTGCTGAATTCAGTCAAATGTGTCTTGTACTTTGAATAGGTTTATTGACTACAACATGTGATAATGTAAGATCTAACAAACAATTTTCAAGATAGCATGCTTGTGCAGCTGGTGTTTGTTGAAGGCTGTTCTGCTTTGCATTGATGTAGTTTGCCTTTTTTACAGTGCTGTAGAAAAACAGTATCTAAGAGACTTCCTTTTCATCCTTTTCCCACTGAATTAGTGTAGAAGTGGGACCATGGGTTATTTTAGATGGGAAGTGAAGTAGACATCAGTGAAAAATATGAAGAAACGAAATACCTATAGTATATATTAATTTGTTAAAATATAAAAAAACAGGACGGGTGTAGTTTTGGATATTTCTTTCTTATTACTCTGGAATTTAAAGCTTTTATGCATTTTCCTTCTTTTTGAATAGCACTGGAGTTCAAAAGAAAATGTATCATCATCTCATGTTCCGTTTTCCTTTAAAAGTATTATAACTCTGGCCGAGTAACAATTGTCTGTTCAAAAGCCTATCTACTTGTGCTTTCTTTGTTTGAATTGGTTTGAGGTTTACCATTTGTGTATTCTAGTGTAAATTGTAAGCCTGTTTTAGAATATAGCATAAAACTAATTAGTGAATTGTATAAGCTTCTTTTGACACTGTAGTTAATGAGTGAAGAAAGCTGGCTGCGTTAGGGCCATTTTGACATGATACACTCTGGTAGCATAAAACTAAATGAGTATAAGCTTCTTTGATCCTATAGTATAGGTTTTTTTTTTTTTTTTATTAAATAGTTAAATGAGTGAAGAAAGTTTGCTGCACTATGCCCTGGTTGAAATTTTTCCTTTTGGGCCGTTTTTGTTAGGTATAACTTTTTTTTAATAGTATGGTGTGATTAACAGGTAGTATTTATTTAGAATTTTTTTAATTAATTGACAACACGTGGTTGTTTAAACTCAGGAACTAGAAAACATTTCTTTTTATTACTGGGCCACCTGATGGGTTTTGTTGGGGGTAAATCTTGAAATTATATTTGATATTACTGGATGGACAGTTTGTGAAATATTAAATTAGGTGTAGATGTTGAAGTTTATGTAATTGTGGAATCTTACTGGGCATGTGTCTCCCTAATAATCAAATCGACTTGACTTAATGCTATCTTAAACAACATCCGCCATTGTTGCATTTTTTATTATTTACCATCTGACACCTTAATTCACCAAATATTAATGCTATACCACTCATGTATATATACTCCAGGCTTCTCTTTTTAATTTTCAGAAATATTAATCTAACCTCAAAAGTCTTGAGACATCATTCCCTAAGAGCATCTAATATGTAACAGTTGTCCCTGTTATAAGTTGCAAAGATTCCTCTTAATTACACCAAATTGTTTTAACTGTAACATAATACATGCATAATCTCCTTATTTCTTGTAGGAAAAAAAAAACTAGAAATTTGAAGGCAAACGTACTTTAGGAAACAAACATAGGTCAATTGACTGAGAACCTAGGATGTTGGCTTTTACATATCTTCTTATTTTTACCACCAGCTTCGCCTTGAATCTTTAATCAATATAGTTATTATTGCTTTTCTAGATACGACTAATAAAATATACAATATTATCGTTTTAGATTTCAAAATTTTCATTCTTTTTAATTAATCACTAATATCTGATTTATTAATTGGTTAATCTAGATTGAGTTTTGCAGATGTCTATTATGAGAGCGACTCTCTTAACCCAATTTGTTTTATTCGCAAACATCAAAATTCGAACTCGTGATATTGTTTAAAGAATTTAGTGTTTCATCCTACTAAATCAGATAAAATCTTATTTTTTTAAAACGTCATATTAATGGTTTATATCACATGTCATTAAACATAACATAATAACATGTATCTCGTATATGCATATATGTAACAAAAGGATCAAATCTCTTAAAGTCGAAATGCACACTAATTTTAATTTAGCCTATAGTCCATTCTATCCAATAATTAAGCAATTCGTCCGAATCATATAAATTGAATTATGAAAGAATTGTACGGAGACAAAGGTGAGATGCCATGATTTCAAGCAACCATGACATGAGACCAAATTCCATCACATCTTTTGGAATCTAGAGACTAAACAAGAGGATATGACATGGACATGGAACATATTAATCATTTATATTTTTATAATTAGTATTTGGTTTAAGTTAAATGATAATACAAATTATAGACTTTAAGTATGAGGGTATATAATAAGTATAAAAGAAGAGAAAATAATTAGATATGACAACTCATATATCCCATTCATGTTTATATATATATATAATCGAATTATATATTGATAGATTAATAATATGGTATTATTTTAATTTTGAGATAATAGTATATTAAATTTTTATACATGTTATTTTTTATTTAGTGTTTTTAATTATTTTTTCGGGTAGTAAGATTAGGGATGAACAAAACTATATTTGAAAAGATTAAGTTTTTTTTGACTCAATTCGACTCAACTCAATTAAAAAAATAAAGTTATGGTTATAAAATAGGACTTAAACAACTCAAAATTCTTAGTAATTAGTTAATTGATTTTCAAGTTCGAGTTGAGTATCTTAATTATCCATGATATATGTAAATCACATATAAAAAATACGAATAAATATATATGTATATCATATATGGTTATAGAAATTCATTTTAATTAGAACCAATTAGTATCATATTATTATAAATATTTATAATCAAATTCAAATAAAACTTGAACAACTCAATTCAGTTCAATAAGACTCGTAAAAAGTTTTAAATAAATTTTGAGTTATACAAATTAGATCCTATTCAACTCGATAAACTCAACAAAATTTTAATTTAATTCGACTCGACTCGATTAAATACTCATCCCGACAAAATTAGTTGCAAATGGGGAAAAAGAGTTGGCAATAGCATGGTTACTTAAATGAGGAATACAAGTTCCAAAATGCCTCTTGATTTCCCACACGCCAAGCAAACCCATGATAGAGCACAAAGTAGTCTTCTAGCTGGCAAATGGCACTATCATTGACTAAATAGCAATAAATTTGTTTGCATTTTCACTAAATACTATAGCTTATTGGCAATTTTAAAGTGTGCCCAATTAATTATTAAATACACACAACAAAGTGTCAACCCACTCATTAATTGAACCAGAAACATCACCTGTGAATAATTAATGAGGTGTTAGAATTGACCTAGATTCTTACTTTACTTGTGTCAAGTCCATTGTAGTATTTGTGGGAGCTTGGAGAAATTCATATTTTAAATGCAATTTGCAATTTACTTAATTTTAGACCTCAAGCACCCATTGTTAGTAATCAAATTCTAATTTCTCAAAAGGAATTATCAGGAAATTTTAAAATTTTGGGCAAAAACAAAATAGCATGAAGTCAAAGAAATTTTAATTTTCACATATTCACTTAAATTCTAGTTGATAATTGAATTAGATTTTTATATAATTTTAGTAGTTAAAGATTAATTGATGATTAAGTTTATTTAGACAAAAAAATGTATTGAATAAAGTTTATCGATGATTAAGTATTTGATTCTATAAATATAAAATATATTTTAATCTTAATTGACAGAGATAATTATTCGAGAAATGTATTCCTTTTAGGGATCTTTGTTTAAGAAATTGATTGATTTATGTAGACAGGTGAGAAGAGTTTTGGTAAAACATTTGGTTTATGAGGTATACCAGATTTTTTTCAAATACAGAAAATTTCATTCGAACTCTTTGTGATCTTTAGGGTTATAATAATATTTTCTCTTATTCATAGAAGTAAATAAGGTCGTTAAATTATATCTTTATGTGAATAATTTTAATTATTTTTTTCATTTATAAATTTATAACATCTACCTCTGAGTAAACAATTTTAATTTGCAACAATCCAAAGACCAAAACAGAAAGAAAAAATAAAAAATAAAGTAGATTTAGAAGTTTCTAACCTACATGGGGATGGTAAAAATCAATATATATACCTTTTGTCTCCCTTCCCAAATTCATGCAATGTTAGATCCTTAAATGGCACAGAATAGCATGTGCTCACAGCCTGTCCTTCACATGCATCCAATCCACCCTCCCCATCACATAATAAAAAATTCAACTAGGATCCCTCCCCATCACAAAATCTATGCATTAATTCACACTTCTCTTTGCCAATGTTACTTTGTTTACATTGTATGGGATTGGATATGGGATCGGTTAAAAGAGACCGAGCAAACAACTTAGCTCTAAAACCATGTTAAAACAGCTTCAAAACTAGCTTTAATATCATGTTAAACTTGGAAGCTAGCTTATAAAGCGAAGAGTACAATTAAAGCATTTGGTTTAATTAATGTATTATTCATCAAGAAAAATAGTAAAGAGAAGTGCACATGAAGATAATAAAGCAAATGTAGAAGAAAGACATCAACTAACAATTATAGGTGAAAAGACATATGTGGAGTGTATCAATTGTGAAGCAAGCTAGAGAGTAATTTTTGAGTGACTAAACAAAACAAAAGGCAAATGAAACAAGAATACTCATTTTTCTTCCTCTTTTTATTCGAGAAAAAATAAATGGGGATTCTTTAGTTGTGAGTCTAGGTAATTATATTTTTTACCCAAAGTAGGAAACATCATCATTTGAAATGGTGCTATAGTCTGCGGCGGTGGTGGGTTGAGTGTATAAGGAACAAGTAGAAACGTCGGTAGTTGTAGGAAGAGGAGGAGGTGGTGGGGGAGGCGGTGGTTGAGTGGTGGATGGTGGCGGTGGTGCAGCGACCGAAACAGCCCCAGGTGAGAGCATGGCTGCATGCGAAGAAGGTGGTATAAGGTTAGCTTCCCTACACTTGTATTTTATTATCTCAGCCCTTACTGCATTCAGTTCAGCTTGTAAAGATTGAAGTTGCTGCTGCAAAGCTGAAATAGCGCCCATGCAGCCATACACCGGGTCTCTCAGCCTCACATTCGCCTCGTAAACAAGACTATTAGCCGCATCAGCACGTTGCCTTTCTGGAACTTCCTGAAATGCACCGTGATAAAGCCACCATCGGAAAAAATTAACCAAAGAGAGAAACAAATTACTAGGGGTCAATTTAGGGTTCGTTGTTGTACCATTAGCATCTTGGAGACGTTGCTGGCACCGAACACTTTGTGAACAGAAGCAAACTTTTGGGGTTCATGGGGGGAGAAATATGGAGAAAATGGGCACTCTTGAGCACACCTACGCCTCAGGAGTTTGCAGGCAGCACATGGTGCAATGGTATTTAGGGTTCCAGGAGGACCCAACATATGCCTTCTTCCCATCTGATAATTAGATGAAACATCTGCTTCTCTCTTGATCTTCTTCCCTATCTCCTCAAATCTCTCCCTAAAGCACCAACAAAAAAAACCCTTTTGAGTTATTACTTAGTTTATAGATAAATGAATAATCTTCTTATAATTAGGAACATGAAGAGATCGTATACATGTATATATATAGAGAGAGAGAAAGGGGTATAATTATAAAGATTTATACTTGTTACCTTTCTCTGGACATTCAGGCATGCTCTCGAGTATGGAGAACAAATTTGCGAGGCTGATGAAATGAAGAGAAAAGAAGGGAAGGAAGAAAAGAGAGAAGGGGAGGAAAAGAGTGCTTGAAAGGCAAGATATACACAGGGAATGGTATGGTCCACTGCTTATATAAAATGAAATTACAAATATTAGACAAAGGAAAGGGATGTATATGAGGGTTGTTAAAGTTGATATGTATATGAGGATTCGTGGGACAAATATTAGACAAAGGAAAGGGATGTATACGAGGATTCCTGGGATTTTGATTTGCCACTTTGGGGAGCAAAAGCTTTAATGGAAGCTCAAGGGAGAGCTAGGGATTTCTACTACAAAATATGCCAGCTCTTTCACTGCTTGCTCACGTGCGATTCCTTAAATGTTTTGACTTTCTGGAATTTCATCGAACTATTCAACCTTGGGTTTTCCTTGCCCACATGTGCTCTTTGCTTCTTTCTTAGGGAAGACCCTAATCTTATTCACCTTTTAGATCATAAAAATATGATATATATGCAACAAATAGTAAGTTGGTATTTAGGTTCTTTAAGTAAAAGTTTGGAGTTTGAATTCTGATGTTGTGAATAAAATAAATTGGATTAGGAGTAGTGACAGATGTAAAAAGAACCCTAGGCATAGGCAGGTGCCCACCTTGAAATATGCATTTTTTATGTTAGTTGTTCATTTTGTTGATGTTGTCCACTGTGAAATTTTATTTATGGCCATCCATACGAAAAATTTATGTTATTATTATATATGTGTTTACCCTAAAAAATATTTTTAGATCTGTCACTGATTGAGAGGATCACCTCTATAACAAACCTCTACAACGTTCAATCTAGATTAGTCGGTTAATAAATCATGTATACATAGTTATAAAAAATAATAAGTGTACACGCTTTTGAATGTAAAATGTGTTTCATTTCATGTATACAAGAAACAACTTGTTTATGTCCACTTTTCCATCAAAATTAAGTTTGTGTTCAATTAATTAATTAATTAATTATCTTAAATTAATGAATCTAAACAATTTAGAACTTGATTATCGACATGTACAAGTCTTTCTTCAACCCTCAAGTTATAATTTGAAAGAGAATTTGTATGTGTAATTCTATAACAATTAATATTGCAACTAAAAAGGCAAATTTTATATCGATTAGATTTCCATCTTTTCAAATGTTTAAATATAATATTTTAAATTTATATCGTAAAGTGATTGGATAAATATATATGCATATACGCATGTTGTTACTATTATTTACTTAATTTGTATTTTGTGTTAAACACATATTTCTTTTTTAACCTTGTTTGTGCACTTTTTAAAAAATATTTAAATAATAAAATATTTTCTATCTAATAAATAAGAAAAAATATTTTATTTATTGCATCTCTCTTTTACAGTTTTTCCCCTTTTAGATATATGAATCTAAACATTTTAAAATTAATTTTAAGAGGAGACGTCTATTTCTGATTACATTGATTAAAATAAAATTTCTTCTAAGACACAACACAATATGTATTTTATTTTCTTATTGTTTATATTTATCAATACTAACATTTTTACTTTGTACTACAATATATATGTGTGTGAAAGGTTAGGTTATGATATAAATATATTTATTTTTTTATAAAATAGGAAATCGGGGGGATGATAATCATGGAGATGTGGGTTTAATTGTGAATTTGGTCAGCCAAGCATGTTAGTTTCTTGTCAAAATCAAGAAGCCATCTCCACAAAAGAGGACCAAATCTTGGGATCTTCAAGTTTCGAAAATGAAATTTAATTCTTATCAGAATTGCCGTGCACTACCCGCTATTTGCTGTTTCGAGATGTTAAACTAAAATTAAGCTAAAGCCTCTTACATGCAAACATGAACTCTTTCATTGGTTTTTTCTTTTAATAATACGGATGGTTATAAGAAATATTTGAAAATCAAAGATTGGACACCTTCAAAACTATAGATATTCTTATTTATTATTGTTGAACTATATTTTGATATAACAACTTATGGCAAAATGTTTTTGGACTTGATTTGAATTTATTCAAAGTTTTCAAAAATAATTCAAAGTCTATTTAACTTGGAATTGAGCACAAGATGTTTTTTCTAGACAAGCAGTACCGATATTGTTCTTACAGTATCGATACCTCATGAACAACATCGATACTATTCATATGGTATCGATACCAAAGGTAAGGGAAGTATTGATACTCACTAGGTAGTATCGATACTACCAGTATTGCTCAAATGCATAATGCAGAAATGGTATCGATACCTAAAGGGGTACCGATATTACTTTGTATAGTAGTATCAATACCATCAGGGCCCAACGGCTAGTTAATTTAAAAAATATAAAGGAAGTACCGATACTCCCTATAGGAGTACCAATACCCTCTGTTATGGACAATTTTATTTTGCAGAGAAAAACATCTCCAACGGCTCTAAAAGGCTCCCAACGGCTAGAAACAAACACAATTCCATTCTAACACATAAATACAAGTTGAGAACACTTGAAGAAGGGTTAGAACACCTATCCAAGCAATCAAACACAAGAGAAGAGTTTTCTAATCTTATTTTCATTTCTTTTGTATATATTAGTGTTTAGTGAGCTTTATTTTGTAAACATCCTACTTTTAAGAGGTTTTATTGTTGACTTCTTTTTACCTTTTGTAAAAGGGATTGGTTCTAGTTTAGCCAAGTGAAAAACTAGGGAGTGTAAAGGTTATCTCTTTGTCATTGAAAAAGAAAGAACAAATTAGTGAATTTGTTAGAAAATCCTTAGTGAATAGTTAAGGTAGTGGAGATAGACTTAGTTGAGAAGTCGAACCACTATAAAACGTTGTGCAAAAGTTTCTATCTTTTCTTTTTTCCTTACTCCCTAAATAATCTTTGCCAATTCACCCCTTAGCAACTTTTTCGGTTGTTCAATTGAGCCTCTTCGATCCTAACATTTATATATTTTAACTATTAAAATTACTTTTATATGTTTCATATATTTAACATTTTTTTATCATTTACACTTGATCTTATTCAATTTCTTTATTTTTAACTATTTAATAAATCTTTAACTTTTTCCATGTTTGATCCTAGCTCTATTTTTAATTGTGTTTTATTATATTATTCCTAATTATAATTCTTGAATCTATTTATAGTTGTATATATATATATATATATATTTTTTTTTTAATATGAGGTAAGTAAAGGTAATATATATTTAAAGTCAACTCTCAACCATTTGATATTGAACGATCGTACCTCTATCATTCCTGATGCTCAAACCTGAAACCTCAAAGAATATCAACAATTTCTTTACTACCGAAGTCACCGAAGTTCCTGCATATTAAAAGAGGGAGTGTATATTCTACAATTCGCAAATTTATTATAAAAGGGAAATAGCATTATTTATAAAGAATGGGGAATTGAATTAAATTGTTGTGGTTGGCTATAGTTTACAAGAAATGTTATATCAAAGTGGGTGGTGAAAAGGGGAGAATTTGGAAGGGATAAGATTGCTTAGATTTTAAGGAAAATGGCACCATCAATCTTCCGCTTTGACTCCTCCTTTAGGCCTTACTCTTCGCCATCTGTATCAGCCTCTCTCTTTCACCCACTTTCACTGTTCTATTACAAGACACAATAATTTAATTACAAATGAAATAATGTTTTCAAAAAATAAAAAAATAAATTTGTTTATTAGAAGGTGTTAAAAAAGAGACACACACGGATGTAATACTTTCTTCAAATTTTTAAAGTTTTAGAAATAAAAATAGATGGTCAATAAAAAATATAAAAAAAATTAAAGTATATTATAATTTAAGTGAGTTAAATCTATCTCAGCCGGATATATATGAATCTTTACTGATGGACAAAAACGCTAATTGGTGACAGAATTTATTTCCAGAAAACCTAAAAGAATTTACTATGGACTCCGTCGATAAATTGCCATCATAATCATAACACCATATAATGACGGAAAAGAAGTCGTCGGTAAAGGCTACCTAAAAATGAAATACCGTCAGTATCCATATGACCATTTTTCGTACCTATAGCGACCGGAATCATCCTTCTAATTAGATAAAATATGAACTTGACAATAATAGATAAAAAATTCATGAAACAAAATATTAATATGACTATATTTATAAAATTCTGTTGTTATTAGCAACTATGCATGGGAGGAAGATACTTCAACTAAAGCTATCATATAAGCAGAAGGGTTACGTTCAGAGCTTCTGTCACTGTCGGGTGAATCTGTCTACAAATTTTGATGAAGTTTGCCCCCACACGTGTCAATGGAAAAGTATGCATAAGCTTTATATAATTAATAAGAGAAAAATTACATTAATTATAATCAGATTTTCCCCAAGTCTGAATATCTTAATTTTGGTAAGTCATTTATTCCCCAAAAAAATTTCAGAGTTTGATTACTAATTTATTTTCCAATTTTCAGATTTTAATTTTGAAAATGATTTCCTGTCAAAAGAAAAGAAGGAAAAGGGAACAAGAAGATCTTTTTTTTTTTATAAAATTAAATATATAATATTCAAAAACAATAGTCTAATTCTCATTACCTATGCAATTTTCTAATTCACCCCTGTACTATAGTCTAATTCGTACTTTATTCTTTTCTACAATTTTATTTTTCAGTTACTCTTTATATGGGTGAATTATTCAAATATTACAATTATCATTCTATTTTACATATTACCCTAATTACATTTTTCATTACAAAATTATACGACTCAATCAGATGATTCATACGTAATAAACTAAATTAGACCGGGATGGTCTGCAATGCCTAATCCGGATTAATCGATTAACAAATTAAAAATTAATGATTATACCCAAAAAATCCAATATTTATTTTTAATCTATAAATTTCTTTTCATGCATAAATATTGATAAAACTAAACTAGGTAAAATAAAATAAAATAAAATGGTCATAGTTTACTATTATAGGTTGTTTAAAATAAATCCGATAAATAGAGTTACTGACATAATTATATATGCCACTAAAAGTCAAAAGAAACATCATAGATATCTTACTAATACTGATGATATATATGACTTCCAAAAAGATGCTTTGGAGGCTCCTCACTGCTCGTGCTTAACTCTATCAAAACATACACATGAAAATCATCACACACTAATTATAACTTAGTGAGGCAGTAGTAAGTTAAGGTGAGATAAATCATGAAAATATTATAAACATAAATAAAATATTAAACTGACAAACCGACTCATCCAAGTCAATTCCTTCACTGAGACATGAAATTCATTTTAATTCATTAACTCATTAAAATTCTGATAAACAATATCTAATAGAATAATCATATAATACTTTCTCTCTACTGAAAATCATTCAAATTTCATACTCATTTTCATAACCCAATGCATATTTATGAGAACATAAGATACGTGAGTAAGGTGTGCACTATGCACGACACGGTATCAAATCATTACTAATACTAGGATATGATGCACTTTAATGCAATCATAATCTGGACACCAACAATATTAAACATTAATACACAAATGTATCAAAATTGATATCAGGCCCGACCTAATACATGTACCAGATGGGCCTTAGCCCAAGTCAGTATGTTTGAGGGGGGGGGGGAATGCATTGGAAGCGTTGCCTTGGTCTCATCACAATCATACCCTGGACACCAACAATATTAAACATTAATACACAAATGTATCAAAATTGATATCAGGCCCGACCTAATACATGTACCAGATGAGCCTTAGCCCAAGTCAGTATGTTTGAGGGGATGCGTTGGAAGCGTTGCCTTTGTCTCATCACAGTCCAACGTTGGAAGTGTGAAGAATTTCTTTGTTGCCAATCCCCAATTTCTTAGCATGTAGAGTAATATCTACTGTAGATATCTTATTCAATAGATCATCACACTCTGACGCCCACGTTTTCTTGTCTTGAACTAGCCCCTTACTAGGCTCAACTATCGAAATTCCAAGGCCCATATTCCTAATGTCCTGAATAACCCTCAAGCTAGGTTGATTTATATTCTCATTTTCAATAGACCCCATAGTCTTGTTTTTTTCTTTGAGCCCAACCGATCCATCAATCTCAATAGTTTGCCCAATAAATCTGGAGTCTAATTTAATAAATGGTGAAAATTTTGATATTGATAACAAATATTTATTTATAGAGTTACAAATTTTATAGAAAATATTGTCGGATTAAGCACACAAAGGTGAAAGTCCATGGACATCTATTCAAATAATGGAGTTTGTAAGAAGAATGGATATGTTCCCTAATATGTTGATAGCATATAAAATTTTGTTGACGGTACTGGTCACGGTTGCTTCCGCGAAAGAAGTTTTTTAAAATTGAAGCTCTTTAAATCCTATCTTTGAAGCACAATGACTCAAGATAGATTGACCAGATTAACAATTCTAAGCATCGAAAGTCAATTTTTACAAAGTATTGATTATCGTAAAATAATAGAGGTTTTTGCTTCAAAAAATGCACGAAGGCATCGTTTTAGGAGATATTTGTAGCCTTGTAGGTTTTGGTTTGTATTAGTATTGATATTGTTTGACTATAATTTCTATTATATTTTTGTTTTAAAAAATTTATTTATGTTTTGTCTATTATACGGTACAAGTATAGGGACATAAAATTATTATCTCTCCCGGGACATTAAAACTCATTGGACCGACTCTGGTTGATATGATAACTAATAACTGAAAAGTACTCAACTAATGACATGTCAAATATACCAAAAACTCTCAACATAACATACAATGGGCTCTTGTATCATAATAAAATCATTTATTATTCAATAGTTGATAATTGTTAAAGTATAAAATTCATCATGAATATCATATTTTGGCAGTTCATATCCTAAATCATTCATAAAATTGACATAAAATATTATAGAAATATTCTATATTTAAGCTTTATAAATCATATTGTAAAATAGAATGAGGTTGACTTATGACAAGTCGTCCTCGATCGTAATAATTAAATAAATAAATTACACTCACCTTTGCCTCACTATCGAACCTTTTACACGATATTCCTAATAACATGCTTTTTCCTTTTCTTTCGGATCGTTCGGATTGCTAGATTTATTAAGATCTGACAATGAGATATAATAATATAACATATTTAAACTATATATTAGTATTGAACTAACATAATCTAAACTTAAAAATATAAAGTCTATAAAATTAAAAATCAATTACTTAATAAATATCAAACTAAATCGTACTTCTCAACATGATTTCAAGTTTTCCAACATACTTATAAATTCTGAAAAATATTTACTTTTCATTATTCATCTTTAAACCTTTACTTATTTCTATAGTTTTTAATTATTTTTGCACTTAATATCTTTATATTTTAATTATTTAAAAAAAAGTAAAACCCTAAACATTGCTTGTGTTTTTCTTCATATTTGTTGAGCGACGATAGCACTAGTTTTGGCATTGATAGTCGCTGTCGGTATTTCTTATTTTTCTTTTATTCTTTTATATCATATTTTTGTTGTTTTTTTTTTTATATAATTTTCGATCGTTTTATATTTTTTTATATTTTTTTCTCAGGGTTGGATTTGACATCGCTACAATTAATTAATATAACGCTTATTTATTTTCATTTTGATATTCTCTGCTTTAGACCCTTTAATTGGATTTGGATACATGATTTGCATTTGTGGATAGTTTTCTCACGTTGCTAAACTTTAATTTGTAATTTGTCAGTGGTCTTTTAATAGGTCGATCCCCTTTTGTGTTTAATTTATCGATGTAGTCAGATCTGTTTGTATCTATATTTTATTCGAATCTTTAAGTTAATTTTTTAACATTTTCCTTGTATGGTCATTATGTTGTTTCTTGTATGATCTTAAGTGACTAGTTTATTGTGTCATTAATTATAGAAAAATGTTTTAATTATGTGTTTAGTTTACGTTTATTATTGTAAACCTTTATTGTAATTCTAGATACTTCATCTTTCTAATAAAACTAGCAACTTTTATCAAAAAAATCTTAAAAAATAAATATAATTACGATTTTGGGAAAAATATAAGTTCAAAATATAAATTTTAAAAAGTAAACATAATTTTTACTTTATTAAATAATTTGTTTAACCTTGATTACTCGATTGTTCAAATTGAAATAATTTGGACATGAGATAATATGAATCCAAATAATCCAAGGTTAAATCTGAATCATGACAAAACTCAAAATATATCAACTGAAAATCGTCAAACTTAACTAGCCCAAACTTGAATTAACCTAAACCCAAAATAATATTAAAGTACAATACTGAAGTTAAAGGTTTAAAACATGGAATAACCAGGCCCAAAACTAATTTAAGCCGACTATTTAACGGGTCTAAATTATAGTCGTTAAAAGAATTATTTCATCTTAGTGGTTAAAGAAAATATTGTTCCCATTAGAGATGATGTGTTCGAGTAGATATGTTTATAAGGTGTGTTCGCGTGCTGAATGGTTAATAAACATTTTAAACAATACTATATTGTAATAATCTTAAACTATTAAAAAAATTCGCTTGAAATAAGAGAGAGCTTGAATAAAATTTAGGATATGTTTTTATATTCGAGCGTTTGGATATATTTTTTCAGGATATACTACACATTTACTACTTAAATGATTGCTTTTATTTCATTTTAGTATTCAAATTTTATATTTTTAAAAATTATATTTAATGTTTAGTTTATGTTTCATTTTGGTAGTCATTATTAAAAATTTAACAGAATTATTGACGTGTCATTTTTGGTGGGTACCCAAATAAAATCTAAATTAAATATTAGGTAGCAAAATAAAATCTAAATTAAACATTAAACATGTCAATATTATCATTAAATTTTTAATGATGGGTACCAAAATAAAACATAAATTAAACGTTAAGTACGATTTAAAAAAATAAAATTTAAATACCAAAATAGAATAAAAATAATAATTTATATGCTAAACGTGCAATCTACCAATTTTTAAACCAGGCCTTGGGTATATAAACCCTAATCCAAAGTACTTGGTTTTTTTTATCTCTTGCTATTTTTGTGGACCTAGCAAAGCTTAACAAAACAATCGTGATAATCACGTGATATCCGGGTGAACCTTACACTTGTATCTGCAATTGAAGTAAATAAATTAAGAAAAAAGAAAAGAAAAAACTATATTTCTTTATCTCTTGTGTAGCTTTGTTTTCCAATCCCAGAACAATGGATACTAATTTGAGAACCTCTTCTTCTTTACTACAACTGCGATCTTCTTTTTGTTTTCCTAATTCATCCTCTCCTTCAAAGCTGCTGTTATCGGTTTGTTTTCATGGTCCTTTTAAGTGGTTTATTGAATTTTTATTGTCCATGCTAATTGCCCCTTCTTTTAAACAGAAACCAAAGCGGGTGAACTTTGTTCAACATCGATTGGTGATTAAAAATTCATCTGGGTTTGGTGAAAATGACTCTTGTAATGGATCCCCCGTTAAACCCAGCAAGCTTTTCATGCAAGAGGTATCCTTTTCTCTTGTATTTTCTAGTAAGTTCTTCATGGATTTTTTTTCACTTGTTTCTGTGTTAAAAAGTGACAATTTTGATTGCTTTTTTTTGATGAATTTCCTCATGGAAAGAAGGTGATTTTATCGTGAATATCTGTGTTTGTGACACATTTGATGTTTTTTTTACTGATTGTGAAAGAAGATTGTTTTTGGTAAATTCTGTGAATTTAGAGAGGAGTTCTGGGGATATTATGGTATTTTTTGTGTTGATAGATTTTTATAGTTTTCTAATTTCTTCATGTTTTATGCCCTTTAGGCGATTGGAGCCGAGTATGGCGAAGGTTTTGAGACTTTCAGGCTGGACGGGCCTTTAATGGTTGATGTGGTAAGGAATTTAAGTTGCTCTTGATTCATTGGATTGGTTTATCAGGTTTTCAATAAGTTTAGCAATGATATTTTCTTATGGATTTCTTTTGGTTCAAATAGGATTACTTGACTGATAGATTACAATTTCTTTTCGTTCAAATAGGATTACTTGAATGATAGACTACAAGAAGGTTTTCTTAAGCGAATTCGCTATGCCATGAAACCAGATGAAGCGTATGGTCTCATTTTCTCCTGGGATAATGTGGTGGTAAGTCTTAAACATTTTCATACACAACTAAGAGTCATGTGACGCTAGATTTATATTTTATGCGAATTACTCGCCTCATTGATGTGAAATTAAATACAATTGATTTTGCTTGTTACATTGAATCCAATACATTTTTAGCTTTAATTTTTTGCCCAATATGCATGACTTCCTTTGATCCCAAGTTGCTTGTTGAACTACTCAAGTATATGAGAAGTAGATAGTCTGATATTGTCTTCTTTTTACTATTAATCAACTTGGCTTTATGCCTGAAACATCTTCTTAGCCATGTGATGTTAGGTGGGAGTACCTCCAAAAGTTAAATTTAATGTTAGCAGGCATAATTTGATTTATACTGATTTCATTTTTGACATGCAGGCAAATACTCGAGCACTCAAGTTAAATGCTTGGGAACAACTTGCCTTGGAAGAAGGTATGTATATTTGCATACGAGGCTTCAGTATCATTGCTAGGAATAGAGCATAGTTGGATAGATTATGTATGTTATCATGTATTCCTTTTCTTCATAACCTTATGCAGATGATGGGAGAATCTTTATTAGCTGAACATTTGTTCAATAAATCAGAGTTTCTAAACATGTTACATGCCTTTATAATAGTTAAAGAGGGTTTTAGATTTATCTACATTGAGATAAATTTAAGCTGGAAGGAGCTTGAATTTTCCTTTCCTGTATCAAGTGGTGGAGTATCTTACTGAGTTTGAAACCCTAGCTTGAAATGAATTTATAATTTTTTTGATAATTAACCTTGAAACAAACTATTGATATAGAAATTTTGCTGCCATATATATCCCAATATTTCTTTGTTGATTTTGTGCAGGAAAGGAGATTCCTCCTGAGGCTAATGCTCAAAAGTTGATGCTTTATGCAAGTGCTGACCATGTATTGCACAAGGTTCGAGTGTTTTTGCTGTATTAATCAATTTGATTGCCTTTTCTGATATGTAGCTATTTAAGCATGATTTAGTGTGTGATGCTCTTTTGAGCTTGGAGGAAGAAAAAGAAGGGGGGGGAGTACTAGGTCAATAGGAGTGATCCTGTACTACCTTGTTGCTGCTGGTGTTTCTTGAAAAGCCAGAAAGTTGCAACAATTATTGTCATCAATTTATTGGTTTTCATGAAAAGCCAGAAAGTTACAATTATTGTCATCGATTTATTGGTTCTTAATTTCTGTCATCATGTAATAAATAAATATGAATTCCTTAAACAATATATAGGAAAATTTTAAAAAAAGAAAGGTGTATCGGATGAGGTTTTCTTGAGTCCCCATAAAGTTAAGCTTTCTTGAATAATCTGTTATGTATTCATTTTTTTCTTTTCATGTCAATCTGAATGTTTTCATATTATGTTGTTTATTTTATTTTTATCTCTTATGAGTTTCCTAAAATTTTTAGATTTTGCGCTGGGAAACCATAGAGAGTGAAGTGGATAGATTGAAATCGAGGCTCTCACAGATTTATTATGATAATCTTCTAAAGGTGAGTGCTTGTTCCATTGGTGTCATGGGTTTTAAATTTATCTTTCAAGTTAATGAACAATATTTCTTCTTTCATATTCAATCAGCTAAGAAAACCAATGGAAGGTCTAGAAGAATGGCTTGATGCTGTATCTACTGCTAATATCCCTTGTGCTGTGGTTTCAAGTCTTGATCGAAGGAACATGATTGATTCTTTAGAACGAATTGGCCTCAAGAAGTATTTCCAGGTTCAATGTCTTCCTAAAAATTATATGTATCCCCTGTATGGTTGCAACCGATATTGTTGCAGATTTTTACCCTCTGAAGCCCAGTGGTTGTGCTGTTTCATATGTCATTATGAGCTTGACAGGCAGATAATGTCTATGCAACGTAATTTGCCAGAACATACTTCACTCTTTGCTGTCTAGAGAGGCCAATTTTTTACTTTTCCTGTCGACAATCTTTTCTAATCTTTCCTCTGTTAATGCTAAAAACTGTGTTTGGGAGGTAAATTGAATATTATATGGATGGCCAATATGCGTTGTGTAGTGTTCGATATGAAAAACCCATTCTTTTTTGTTCCATTCTCAGATATGGTCTCAGGCCCATTTAGTCAATGAAATGGTCAGCGCAAATAAGATTCCAATCTGATAAAATTTCTTCAATTGTTCGCAGGCAATAATTTCTGAGGAAGATGGAATGGAGTCGATATCTCATAGATTTCTGTCGGCAGCTATGAAGGTATGTTCCATTTAAGATCATAGCTTCAATGCCTATCATTTTTGTATTATTTATCCTCTTATTATCAATATGGTTTGGGATCTACATTAGGATTTATCATATTCCTGTGAATAGCTTTTATATTGTATTAAGATATATTTATTTTGGGTGCAATTTCTTTTATTTCTTAAGATGTATTTTCATTGTTCTCATTTTTCTTGGAGTAACAAGGAGAATTTTACTGTCTTATGAGTATGCAACAGAGTTGCCTTCAATCTTTATCATGCAACTTTTGAGCCAATTTATGACAGTTGTGTGTATTGTCTTCTCATAAACAAAACCTGCAACCACTGACATGGCTGAGAGCTCTTAATGAAGATCAAGCTTCGGATTATATCCAATTATAGGCTTGATAGCTTTTCAATATGTCGATCAACTTAAGCATTTGCTTTCTTCCAGTTCTGTCTTATAGCAGAAACACTATATTCTTTATAGCTGATGCCAACTGCAGTAGTAAAAAAAAGAGGGAAATGAGAACTATAGATGCCAATTTGGTTAAAATGGTTTCTGTAGGTTTTATTTATGTCAACTCTCTTTTAATATATATATATATATAAAGTACCCACACTTGAATGCCTTTAATTTCCCATTGATTACGTTGGAAATGGTGGTTGAGTTGTTTACTTGTAAATGTAAAATGGTTGAATGCCTAAGAGGAAAAAAAGGCACTATTTAAGTCAATTATAGAAGCTCCTTTTCTATGCTAATTTGTTCTCCCTTTTTGATTTGTTTCTATTAATTCCTTGCAGCTGGATCGTAAACCATCAAAGTGTGTAGTATTTGAGGATGATCCCCGTGGCATTACTGCAGCTCATAACTGTACTATGATGGCTGTGGCAATGATTGGCTCTCACCCTGCGTATGTGTTTTGTTCAACATAGAAACATGCTATCATTCCTACATGGACACACTTCAATTGCAACATTAGAAAGAAATCTATATTTGAAATGTGATTAGTGCACTGAGCTCCCTTGTAGTTGTAATAAGAAGTTATCTGATATACCTCTCCTGCTCTAGCCCATATAGGAAGCAAATAGAAAAAACAAGGATGTAATCCTTGCTATTTTACACTTGGGCTGGGCGTAAACTTCGAAGCATAGGTTTTGAAATCAATATTTAGAATATAAAGTTACATGTTTAAAAGAAAGAAAAAAAGAGAAGCATTTAACAATATTTTGTTTATGTTCTTCTATGCTAGAAAAGAAATTAGATTAGCAAAGAGGTCATTTGGGGTTGCACTTTGCTATGTGCTATGTGCTATGTTGTACTGTCATGTTTCATGTCAAAACCTTCATAGGCAGAAGATATTGGTCAAGTAACAATTAAGACCTTGCTAAATGCCATAAACAAACATATCACATGACTAATTTTGGGCAATTTATTGACTTTTTACGCTTTGTTTTTTAGTTTGATCAGATATGAAGAAAGTTGCTTTCTTACAATTGTGCACCTCCTAATCTTGTTTGTTGTTTTAGTTGGAAACCTGCAAATTGTGCACCCAGAAATTGATTGACATGAAAATCAAACATGCAGGTATGATCTGGTGCAGGCTGATCTTGCAGTTGGTAGCTTTAACGAGCTTTCAGTGATTAATCTTCGAAGATTATTTGCTAACAAGGGTTCTACTTTCATGGACCGGCAAAAGCAGATCATAGAGAAAACTCCTCCGAGAAGGAAGCTTACGGTTGATACCATCTGAAGCATTTTCTCTTACCTTTCATTCCAAATTCGTCCCTGTAATTAAGTGACCGTGCAGGTAGGAGAGAGTTCTAGCATCAGTGTTGCTCCAACTCTAGATTGGTTAAGGGTATGATCCTCCAGTATATTGTGTTGGACGCCGAGTAACATAGGTCTATATTTTATTTAAGCTTTGCTTATGTTAGTAAAATGTTCCCCCATGTTAGGTATCATTCATCTGATTGTACAGTGGTTTCAGTTGTTGAACTTATCAATAAATAATAACTGTTAGACCAGACATATCTGTGGATATTGGACAATTCGGATGGCCATTGTAATCTTGTTCAGGATCAGTGAAAAATACAGCCCTTTTTCCTGATTACCAGTGTGGTTCAAATCTTTTTACCTTGCGATGCTTTTAGCCGAAGTTATTTCTGTTTTATAATATCATCCTTCAATGTTAGGCAGTTTGCTTACCCCTTGAACTCTGCAATTTCGTTATATGCTTATATCGCAGTCCGTGCCCATGAAAGTGCCTGCGCATGCTTGCCCACGTCCGAGGCTAGCATATGAGTTGGCCAAAGTTTTAGGATCATAACATTTGCATTTGCCCTCTCTAAACAAAGCAACAAAATACGAAAACAGGGCAATGTAAAACCCCATTCTAAACCATCAATCCGCTTTACGTCATTTAGTGGACTCGAAGGTATCTCTTTTTATGTTTCCCCATATATTTGAAGGATCATATTTTCTATCTCATGTCCGAATAAGTATCAGACAAGTCTTTGAACACAAATACTTTTAAGGAAAATGAAGAGCGCAGAATATAGCAAGTTATATCCTCTTGAGAAACCCTTTTACACATGCTCCATTACCTTAGCAGCTTCTTATCACACCTGTGTGAACATCTTTTGCAGCAACAGTTTTCCAACCAGTTAGACTTTGCCGAAGCCCTGTATTATCCAGTTATTTGCCTATCTTAAAACTTGATCGCTTCCTCCATATTGGTTACCCTTAAATATATTTTCCAGTTCTTATCCGGTTCTCTCAACAATTCTCTCCTAATCATAAACTTATTACTGCATATCTGGTGAAACCAGTAAAAAGTAAGAGTGTATCATCCTGTGTGCGCACGTCAGCAGAAAACAGACGTGCTTTTAGACAAAGAAACTACAGGCATGGTCAAACAGAGAATTAAGAAATCAACAAGGAATTCCCAATAATCCCAGAGGTTTTCTGCTTTTCTGGTTGGATTTATATCCGGATTCGGAAATATGGAAATTTGTACCAGGTGCTGTTCTGTGAACTGTTTGGAATTGCAGAAATAATATTGTGTTTGAGAAGGGTAGGCTGGATCAGATTAATCTTTTCTTTCTGGTCAGATATAGGGTGGCTTCTTGGTTCTTGGCTAAGAATTCAAATTTTCCTATCTTTCTTGATTGCCTAGCGGGAGACTTAACCTTGGCTGATCTGCATCGTCCTCCTTCGAAGAATGTTTTGTCTAAGGCACAGTGGTGTCCCCCCCTCCGGGTTTCTTTAAAGTTAATGTTGATGGGCTGTTAATTTTGACTGGAGGTGCAGTGGTATTGGAGGTGTGCTTAGAGATGCTGAAAACAAGAGGTTGGGGTTTTTATCAAGATCGTCCGGATCAGGCCCCCCGATCCTTGCTGAGATAAAAGCAATTCAAGCTGGTCTAGATTTGTTTCTGAATTCGGTGTGGAAGGATAAAGGGTGCCTTATTTTAGAGAGTGATTCCTACATTGCGTTGAAATGGATTAACAATCCGGAGCATGCCCAGTTCTTTATGTTCATCTGGTTAGAGAAATTGCTAAGATACTGATGGAGTTCAATGTTTTAACTAGGCTTGTCAACAGATGTATTAATGGAGAAGCTGATAGTTTAGCTAAAAAATGAATAGGCTAGTATAAGGTCAAGTGTTTTGATTGTGTTAGGTGGATGCATGTTGGAGATGTTTAAATAGGGTTCTTGTGTATTATTTATGATCTGTACCTGGATGTATCCTTTTGTTTAGCAATAAAATTTTGGGCACTCTTTTCCTCCTTCCAATGGCCATTGAGTTTTTAGGAGCTTGATGGTTATGAAGGGTTTTTTTTAATGAGGCCCTATTCTTATCAAGAAAAAAAGAAAAAAGAAATCAACAAGGAAAAAGTAAGGAGTAGCATGCAAATTGCATCCTCCTAAAAGAAACAATACAAGCAGGTTTTGTAAACAAGATAACACAAAAACTGTTGAAAAGTGCAAAAGCTGAGACGAGTTAAGAAAATTTATCTCACCTACCAGATCTACCACTTCAGAACACATAAAGATTCGGATGCCTCGTATAGAAAATTCTTAAACCAAGACAAGTTCTCTCATTGTTTCGTTAGTAACTCAAATCAGTGACAGAAACACAAACTGATAGACATCGAAGTTATTTTGACTTGAAACTAGACTCTGCAACTGCAATTGGAATGAAACAGCACATTTTCTACTCAGTTTCCTTAACTACACATCAGATAACGTAATGGTTCATGTACCAAAGAATTAAAGCAGTTTCAGGCGCATTTCACATTAAGCTACTAGTATGAAATATGAAAAAAAAATATCTGATTCAAGCAAGAGTCATCACAATAAATAAAGATACAGGATCAAGGCATAAAGCAAAGATGAGGAAATTGAACAATATAGCTCCCGTTACTTTCTTGTCTAGTTAAACCTATTCAGTTCAAAAGAAACTTATTATAAACTAAGCTTTATTCTATTTGCGCCTTGGCAATATCTCCTCTAACATGGAACAATATAGCTCTAAAGTAAACTCCACAGGGGTGGACAAGTAATACCTATATTACTTGAACTTGAGTAAGGGAATCGATTTGTGTCCTCCTACGCAGATATGTTAAACTTTTTCTAAGTGTTTCCATGTATTTGGAGGACCTGAGAGCCATATCAATTCCATACCCATATCCATATCATGCATCAGATGGAGGTTAATTTTTGCCTTATCAGTAAGCAGAGGAAAACAGAAAAACAATTTATTTTGGTCAAGTACGATGTGATTTCTTTTCATTGTAAAACAAAATTAATGGATCATATTGCTATGCACATTATGCATAATCCACTTCAAGAAGAAAAAACAATTAATTAGAAACATCATGAGAGTAAAAGAATACCGAGTTTCAAGGAAAATTGAACTAGGTTAACATCACCCTCATGCAAAAAATTGCATGAGTTTGTACCATAAAAAATCAAGGTAACTGAATTTGGTAGTAACATCTCACTCAACCCAGCTATCATACAAACATTCATGCTAATAAAACTCGATTAACTCTACAGTTTATTAGGGCTTCAATGACATTATTATGCACAAAAAGTGATTAAATCATACTCTAGATGAACTCAGAAGGCGAACTAGAATCAGGTTTCCCATTGTCACCTAATCCTCCAGGATGCTGCAAATTTTGTAAAACTTGATGAGGCAACCCCCCCAAACCAGCTGCTAAGCCATCATTTGCTGAACCATAAAATTGACAAAAGAGCCTAACCATGACACCAAGAATCTGCATTTGATTCTGGCATGCTTCCATTTGCATTTGCATCATTGCTTTCTCATGTTCAATCTGCAATCCCAACAACCTTTCCTTCCACTCCATTGCTTCTTCTTCGAGCTTCTCCTCCATTCTCCTGCTCCTCCTCCTCTCCTCATCCAATTCCTTCTCTAACCTCAATCTTCTTTCACCTTCCTTCCTAGCCCACAACAGCTCCCTTTCCTCCAACTCCATTTCCCAACTCTCCATCCTCTCTTCCCTCTCACTCCATAGCTTTTCTTTCCCGAACTCCAATTCCCTCCTTTTTTGCTCCCTCTCCATCTCACCTTTCTCTTTCACAAACTCTCTTTCCTTCCTTTTCTCTTCCCTCCTCACCACCCCGTCTCTCAACTCCAACACTTTTGTTCCAAGCAATCCAAAACCCTTACTTCCTCCTACACCTTTCCTAGATTTTCGAACATGAGAAACACCGATATCTCCGAATTCTCTCTCCCCTCCAAACTCGCCCTCAGGACCGACCTTATCATCACCACCATCATCCCCATCTCCATCGACACCGTCCTCTTCCTCTTCCTCCTCAAAATTCTCACTATCAATTGCAAACCCCAAGTCACAACAATCCTCAAACAAATCACTCCCGTTACCATTGATTTCACTACCTTTCTTCCCTTTAACTTCAAGTTCCACATCGCCAAAAACCTCTTTATACTTCAAAAAATTTTCCCAATGATTCTCACCGTCTTTCCAATTAAACTCATCATTCGAAATCCTAATCTTCTGCTTCACCCCCAAATACTGGTGTCTCATGTTTTGAACCTTAATAGATACATCACGCCAAGACCACTTGAAAGGAAAAGTAATGGGATCTTGAAGATGATGAACTGAGTTAACATGGTCAGCTATGGGCTTGAACTTTTTCTCTCTGGTTTTGAGTTTGGACAAAGTTCCTGAATTGAGAAGATCAGAGTATTTGGACAAAAGGGTTTGTTCTTCAAGCTCTGACCACTTCTTACGTTTCATTTTCGTAGGAAAAGATCTTATGGAAGGGTCTTGGTTTGGTTTTAAAAATTGTTGGAACAAAAAATAGGTTTGAGCTTCGCAGGTTGTCTGAAAAAGACTTGAGGGACGGAACTCGGAAGTTGTTTTGAGAGATTTGGGAACGATTTTCTTTTCTTTTCTTTAAAGTGTAAAAGTTATAATGCCATTAAAAAAGTAAGTAAATAAACCAGTAAAAATAATAAAATAATGGGTTTGGCATTGGCCAACTGTAAAGCCGAGGTGGCAAAAGGAGTTAAAGATTACATTTTACCATTTCCTTATCCTTTTTTCTATCTAAAACTCCAAAAACCCTTCAATGCCCCGACTGCAACGGAATCAGCTCTGGATAGAGATTTGAAACCCACATCCAAAATCAAACTCAAAGATTGTAACTTTTTCAAGCTGTTCTAATAGGAACCCCAAAACAATGTCTTGTACCTCAGTTTCTTCTTTTACCACTTCTCTCTTTGTCCCTTCAAAAAACTCATCTTTGTCAAATCATAAGCGCAGACTCATGCAATGTTCTCTTGGTGGTACTTTTTTTTTATTTAATTTCACCTTTAGTGTTCAATTTAAGATTTTGTTTGTTACTTTGTCGTTTGATGTGGGATTTTCTGGTTTTTTGCTACTAAGACCAAGTCAAAATTTTTGAAGATTAGAAAATTAGGAGCTTAAGCATTTGAACCTCTCTGTTTAAGCTGGATTGCATTATTTAATGAGTTTTAGTTATGGGTTAATGGGACTCATTGAGATGCAACTATTTTTTAAGTGAATGAAGCTCTATTCTTGTCTCAATTTCTTCGTGGAAAAGATGCTTGAAATTATCAATGAGTTAATCTCATATGTGAGAATTAGCTGTCATTTTTAGATTTGATTGTGAACGGTGAGTAGTTATAATTTATAAGTTTCAGCTCAAGTATTGGGAATGGTAACTACAGTTAAAAGTGCTGAAAGGTAGAATTAGGAATGTGTTGAGAATTGAAACCATAATTAGCGATTATATGATGAGACCATTACACCATGATAGGACAATGACCTGCTTGCAAATGATCTTCTATGTTCTTTATTCATGTCTGTTGTTGTTCTTAATTTTTACTGGTTATACTACAAAACTTGAGTAGTGTGCTTGTTAACTAATGCTTGATCATAACCATGCTTTGCTATCATGGCATGTTCAACGATGATAATTAATTGAGGTAGTGTAAATAATATTGGTCTGATTAAAATTACCTTCAATCTATTTCAGCGTGACATAGTGGTTCCATACATTTGATCCCCTTGTATGTGAGCATAACATGTTTCGATTAACAAAATCATTCACACCGATATTCTGTTCTACTCATATGTATCAACTATCAACTATTCTCTTTGATCAGGCCTGACTGCATTTCTGAACCATGTCTATGTTTTGCTGAAAACTGCTGATTTATAAGTTTTATTTGTAAAATTGTTATCTAGGAACTGTTGTAGAACTGAAAGCTACTGCTGCTTCCGAACTCCTGTTACTCAATGCTGTTCGAGGGCAAGATGTTGAAAGACCACCAGTGTGGCTTATGAGGCAAGCAGGGAGGTACATGAAGGCAGGTTTTTACATCAATGTGCTTTCAAAAGAAATTTTTTTTGCTGCATTTACTTCGGATATTGCATGCCTCAACTGTAATATGTCTGCTTCATGTTTCTGCTATCAAACCCTTTTATGAAAGTGCAAAAAAAAGGGGGGGGGGGGAGGGATTTACCTGTTATTTCTTATGTTAATCTATTAGAAGGGATCTACGTTTTGCATTTTTTTCCCTTTTCTGCAAATCTTATGCTTTGATGCCATCTTTTATATAACTTTTGATTTATATGCATGTATATATATATATATATATATATTACACTTGCTCATTTATTGTAATTTCAATGTTTGTATCTCCCTTTTTGCATCTCAAAGAAGACAACGGGTAATTTCTGTTTGTTTCATTTTCCATTTCCTTTTCAATTATGTCTTACTTTGAATGTTTCATATTGTAGAGCTACCAAATAATCTGTGAAAAATATCCTTCCTTTCGTGAAAGATCAGAAAATGTTGATCTTGTTGTTGAAATTTCACTGCAGCCATGGAATGTTTTCCAGCCAGACGGAGTAAGAATTTTTCTTTTCTAATCCCTTTTAATTATTTTTCTTGAATGAGCATTTCTGATTTTCATTTTATTATTCTTGGTTAAAACCTCATAGTTCCATATTTCAGGTATCAATAGGCTTTAATTGACTTGTGTGTTCTTGTGACAAGAAAGCCAACCATTCCTGTTGCTCTTTGCATATGCAAGTTATAATATTTTTGAATCATTGTGTATCGTGACAGGTAATTCTATTCTCTGATATTCTTACTCCTCTCTCTGGGATGAACATACCTTTTGACATTGTCAAAGGTAAAGGTCCAATAATCTTCGACCCTATAGTAACTGCTGCTGATGTTGATCAAGTGAGAGAATTCAGCCCTGAGGAGGCAGTTCCTTATGTTGGAGAAGCATTGACAATCTTGCATAAAGAGGTTTACATTGACATTTCTTTTATTATCCTCCTAATTTAAGTTCTTATGTTTCACCTTATTTCATTTCATGACAGTTTTCGTTAGGAAAACATTGATATAACATGGTATTTTCCAGTTTCCACATGCATCAGTTGAACATTCGGAATCTTCTTAGGTAGAAAAGACGAACAAATAATGGCATTAAACGAACAGTTTTAATTAATTAGAGAAGTTGGTTAACCTTAATGTTCCCAAACAGGAAGGTTAACCGTTAGTCCTATCTGCATTAGTATTTTTCTTAAATGATAACTAATTGAATATGAATTTGTTAACCCCTAACCCTTTCGTAATCCTTTGCTTCACCCTTCTATGGTCTGAAGTATGTCATTATCTGGATTTTGCTAACATTTTGTACTACCATTTTATACAAGGATGTTGTGTGATTTTTTAGAGCTCGGGAAACCTTGAAAAATCTTGCTCACTTAACACTACATTTCAGTAAATTTAAGAGCATGAAGCCTCACCCCCTTTCTTCATTTTGCCAGGTAGATAATAAAGCTGCAGTTTTGGGTTTTGTTGGCGCTCCATTCACTCTAGCATCATATGTGGTTGAAGGTGGTTCATCGAAGAACTTCACCAAAATAAAAAGTTTGGCCTTCTCTCAGCCCAAGGTAGTTTTAGTTCTCTTTCTCTATCATCTCAGATCAACTGGGGTGAAGTTTGTCCTTTTCTTCTTCTTTCTTTTGGACCTATACTTGTGTTAAATAGTGGCGTAAATGTTTTCTGTCTGCTGCTTCAAATTTTGATTGCCAGCGAACAATTTTATTACCTCAGGTCAAAGTAACCTCTTTTTCCTCCTACAGGTACTTCATTCCTTGCTTCAGAAATTCGCAACCTCCATGACAAAGTACATTCAGTACCAAGCTGATAATGGAGCTCAAGCTGTTCAAATATTTGACTCTTGGGCAACAGAACTAAGTCCGGTGGATTTTGAGGAGTTCAGCCTGCCATATTTGAAGCAAATTGTAGATGCCGTAAAACAAACCCACCCGGATCTTCCTCTAATCCTCTATGCAAGCGGATCTGGGGGCTTGTTAGAAAGGCTAGCTTTAACTGGTGTTGATGTAGTTAGCTTAGATTGGACCGTTGACATGGCTGAAGGTAGGAGGCGACTCGGACATGATATTGCCATCCAGGGAAACGTTGATCCTGGTGTACTTTTTGGTTCAAAAGAGTTTATCACCAATCGGATACATGATACCGTGACAAAAGCTGGTAAAGGGAAACACATATTGAATCTCGGTCACGGGATTAAAGTAGGTACACCCGAGGAAAATGTTTCCCATTTCTTTGAGGTTGCTAAATCAATCAGGTACTAAAAGCAATACTGGATTTAACTAATTTCCTACCAAGTTTATGCATCTTCTGGTTATTTTTTCCAGCCTTTGATTGTTCCATTTGTATTTATATTGTTCCATGAAATTGTTGACAACTTCGACTCCCAACATGTATCTATGTTACTCAAACTCGAGTGAGAGTCATGATGCAAGTTTGCATCCGAAACGGGTATGTTTAATTTTTCCACGTATATATCTAGAGGGTCTTTGGAGGATCATTTTCGCATATACATTTCAAATGTGCCGGACATGAATACTTCAAGAAAAATGATGAGTTGGAGTAGCATAAACTCAGTATAGATAAAATTTGAAATGAGGCCCATTGGAGTAGCGTAAACTTAGTATAGATAAATATCCCCTTCATGTTAAGTTTTTTTTTTTAATAAAAAGGGTATACAATCTTTGATCCCATCCCATTGCAGAGTGCCAAAAAAAAAATCTGTTGATCAGATTCACAACAGCTTTGGACTTCTTTACAGCTTAAAATGATGAATCCGAAGCCCTTTGAGAAATATGCTTATTAATAGGTAGAAGAAAAGATGCCAAAAGGAACTGAAGAGTCCAGACTCAGCTTAGCTTATAAAAGTCATTTTGTCACGAATAGAATCTGATTCCTGGTTTAATCATTTGAGTTAAGCTTAAAAACTATAAATTATAGGTTGCTTACCTAATGGTTTGTTTGCTAGTAATGAAGTTTCCTAATTATGAGTTTTAAGGCTTGCAAGTCATATCATAGTATGTAGTTAAGTCTTGCCCGTCTAGCTCAGTTGGTAGAGCACAAGGCTCTTAATCTTGTTGTCGTGAGATCGAGTCTCACTGAGGGCAATTCATTCCACGGAAGCTACTCTTAACCTAGCGTTGGGGGTAGTCTACCCTACCTCTCCCTTATCCCATTACATATGGAAATAGGGTCAGCTTATTTAGTTAAAAATGGCTGGCAACTTCCACTGAATACCAAGCCTGAATTTTTTTATTTCAGACCTTGCGATGTCCAATTCCTCTCAGCAAATATGCTAATGCCACCTTGTATACATGATTGGTGAGGTTTAGCTGTACAAATGGTGCACATCCAGGGATTTTTTTTTAAAACTCACTGGCAAACACAAGACGTAAAATCTCCAAATCTTGAATCAATTAAGAATGTTCAACTTGATTGTGTTTTAAAACCCTGTTAAAAAGAGTTGATTTTGACAAGGAAATTAAAAGAAGACATGCAAAAGAAAGAAGCCTGACAATCATGATGGCTCAGCCCTTGAGAACAATGGGGCCAGCAAGGAGGAGGTTAACATTACCAATCCCATAACCACACAAAAATGTAGCCTAAATTTTCAACCGTCTTGATGACACACCAATAATAAAGTTCAATCAAGACTCAATTGGTTTCATTTTGTCCAGTTCATATTTCATGATGTCATCCGAGAACTAGTGGTCTGCAATGGCAAACCAGTATTGGATCCCCAAGATCAAGAGTCTACTTTGTAGAATCAATACTGCTGCTCAACAACTGTTCCAATTTTCATTCATTCATGAATGGCTAAATCTTGTTTAAACAAGAAAAAAAATTAAAAAAAGTTTGGTTTTTGAAAAGAAAAAAACCTGCCATTTAAGAAAAAAAAAGGTGAAGTTTTGTTTTCATTCTTAAAAGAAAGCAAAAAATATGGGGTCAAGTTGTTTCTTTCCCTTTTATATTAAGCATGATTTCGTTTGAGCTTTGAAACAAAAAGTGGAAGATTTGAAGTATATTCCGATAATGAATTCCCAAAGTAGCCTTATGATATTTTTATCACCATTCACCACTGCAGCTGCAAAGCTTGCATGTCAGTTTTGACTGCAGTAGTAAAGTCAGGCTTTTCTCCTAACCCACAACTTACATTGAGAGGCCTTTCTTTATATAGTTCAAAACCATGAATCCCCTACCATCTCATTACATTCATTCTACTTGCAACATTTGTGTCTTTCATCTCTAGCTCCCCCCCCCCCCACACACACCCCACCACCACCACCTCCTCATCAAAAGGCTTTCTTCCTAAATTCATTGCTTTCTCTTCACTTTTAGGGTAGAGTTTTCTTTGTTGAACCATTTTCTTTCAGTGAAGCTGGTGGATTTTAAATGTTTCTTTCTGTTTTTCTTTTTTTAATCTAAGCTAACTTGAATCTAATGCTCGCCTTTAAATGTGACCAAGAAGCAATGTTCTGTTCTTGATATGTTTGCTTTGCCTTTGTCCATACCTGTTATTTCTTTATTTGAATATCTTCAATCCTTTCATTATGTTGATGAAATATCGTGTTAGCTTTAAGAGTTTGGTTCCACTCCTTTCAGCTATTTTTCCAGTTTCCACAGGAGAGATTGCTTCATAAGTATGGTTTTCTGAAACTAAGATAAATTGTAAAAGACTTGCTGCTAAGTTTCTTTTATAGCAGCCTTATTCTACCATATGATCCATGATTTCAGCAGTTTACGTGACCCATATAGTTATCTGCTATGAATTCTAATGGCTATGGCTGTTATTTAGCGATTCGGTTCTCTCCAATATCAATATTCATCGTAATTGATCATGACAACATTGATTGTGTTTGCAACTGCGATAAATGCATCAAGAAAATAGCTAATCTAATTAAGTCATTCAACATGTTATTGTGTTCATCACCTTAAACTCTAGGCCTACAAGTAAATGTAATCCTACTCCGGACTCAAAGCTGAACATCTAGGACTGAAGTGTGAAATTTCAATCGAACATATTGTGTTTGATGGCTGATATGGTATCACTGGTTACCATAAACTAGTTGAGAAATTTGATGCATCATTGAGTTTTTCTCTTCAGTTCTCTACTTGAAGCATGAATTCAGTATGTATGTATGTATGTATGTATGTATGTATGTATGTATGTATGTATGTATGTATGTATGTATGTATGTATGTATGTATGTATGTATGTATGTATGTATGTATGTATGTATGTATGTAATGCTTTTTGGGTGATTGAATAATTGTGGACCTGCCTCTTTATTGTGTCTTCCAGAGAGCATCCAGACAGGACCAGGGAATGCAGAAAAATGTGCTTGCATCCGGTTCTGAATTACCTGTATTCATTCTCGATGACGTTGGATGCTCAACATACGGCAGATCCATTCCCTGTGTCGAAACTCTTAATGGAGTTGAAACTGAAATCTCTGTCATGTTAAACGGATGAACTTGTTGAAGACGGTCGAGTTCTCCAGTAGCTACTCCTGCACTTTAGACGATAATATATATATATATATATATTATATACATAGTTACTGCAGGAGATAAAACTTTATTGGAGTGTGTTAAGATTTGAACTTTAGAATGGAAAATAAAGGGAAGGTGTTGATGCATAAGTACGAGTTCGGAAGATTTTTAGGACAAGGAAACTTCGCCAAAGTTTACCATGCAAGGAACATCGAAACCGGCCAGAGTGTGGCAGTTAAGGTCATTGACAAGGAGAAGGTTTTGAAAGTAGGGATGATCGACCAAACAAAGAGGGAGATATCGGGAATGAGCCTGGTTAAACACGCGAATATCTTGGAGCTTTATGAGGTTATGGCTAGCAAGAGCAAGATTTACTTTGTTATGGAATATGCCAAAGGTGGTGAGCTCTTCAACAAGTTATCAAAAGGGAAGTTGAGAGAAGACGTGGCTAGGAAGTATTTCCAACAACTCATCAGTGCAGTTGATTTTTGCCACAGCCGAGGTGTTTATCATCGGGATTTGAAGCTGGAAAACTTACTCCTTGATGAAAACGGAATTCTTAAAGTATCGGATTTCGGTTTGAGTGCCCTAGCCGAGTGTAAGCATCAAGATGGGCTACTCCACACAGCTTGTGGAACCCCTGCCTATGTAGCTCCTGAAGTTATAAACCGTAAGGGTTACGATGGAGCCAAAGCTGATATCTGGTCATGTGGGGTGATCCTCTATGTTATGCTGGCTGGTTATCTTCCATTTCATGATACCAGTCTAATCGCAATCTACAGGAAAATAAGCAAGGCAGACTACAAATTTCCTAATTGGTTTTCACCTGAAGTCACCAAACTGCTGTCAAGAATCCTCACTCCGAATCGTAAATCTAGGATTTCAATCACAAAAATAATGACAAATCCGTGGTTCAGAAAGGGATTTAACTCGAAAGCAGTCGATATTGATGCAGTTTGTAGTTGTGAGACTAACTACAATGCATTTGAAGCAAAGAAAGACACGGCTAAGCTCACTAATTTGAATGCCTTTGACATTATTTCTTTATCGAGCGGATTCGATTTGTCCGGATTATTCGTAGAAAGTGAAGAGAAAAAGGAAGTTCAATTTACTTCATTGCATACGTTCTCTGCCATAACATCTAAACTAGAGGTCAATGCTCAGAACTTGAAGTTGAAAGTTAAGGAAGGTGGGGTGATGAAAATGGAAGGATCCAGCAGAGGTGGAAGAGGGACATTGGCTATCGATGCAGAGATATTCGAGTTTACCCCGTCTTTCCACTTGGTAGAGCTGAGGAAATCCAGTGGTGACACATTGGAGTTTTAAAAGACGTTAAAACAGGAAGTTAGACCAGCTCTGAAGGACATTGTTTGGGCTTGGCAAGGTCAGCCGCATCACCCGTCCTAACCGTCTTCAAGTTTATTTGCAGAATTTAATGTTCATATCATTGTTTGGCAATTCAAAGTTGTGTGTTGTTTTCTTTTCATTAATCTTCGTTTGGTGGTGTCTGTTCTTCATAGCATTGATTAGTTCAGTTGTGTTGTGGAGTTGATATCGGAAAGCAAACAGTCCATCTTTTTATTATTTTTTAATCTTAAAGAAAATAATTAATTAATTAATTACAAGTCGAAGTATATATATATATATATATATATATATATAATGGGAAAAAATAAATTTTACTACAAAAAGTGCAGGTAGGACTAGAAATCTTAAATAGAAGAACCCGAATTGGATTAGAATTCCACATCTATCAAATAATTTATACAAATAATTCTACTGGTTTTTGAAGAATTTGGGAATCGAACTTTAGAATGGAAAATAAAGGGAAGGTGTTGATGCAAAAGTACGAGTTCGAAAACTTTGCCAAAGTTTACCAATGCAAGGGACATCGCAACCAGGCAGAGTGTGGCGGTTAAGGTCATTGACAAGGAGAAGGTTTTGAAAGCAGGGATGATCGACCAA